AATCAATGGATTCTTGATTCTTTAGAAGTTGACTGTAGGCATTGATGGTGCTTCAACTTGCTGTGACCAGTGAAGCAATTCAATGAGCAGGTTTTTTTAAATGCTTTGCGTTCAGCTGCAGCTTAGAAGCTTTAGTTTTCTGGCTGTGACAGCTGATGCAGCGACAAGTTCAGGTCTGATTAAATGATTTTTCTATTTGTTTTTACAGGCAAAAATATGTTTTAAGTTTAATGCAGAATGTTAAACAAAACCAAAATTAATTTGGTGTTTGTTTTTTAAAAAAAAAAATAAACAGAAGGAACTTTTCCTCACTTTGCTCACGCTTTCCCCAGTAAACACCTCTCCTCCCCAGCAGCAGGAGGTAGAGTTAATGTTGGAACTGGAGAGGGCTGACTGACCGTACGGCTGCTGTTTCCAGCCTCTCCCACCTCTTCCACAGGGATGCTTCTCTCACCTTTTCCGACGTGGACCTGCGCTCAGCCTGGCTGCTCTGCATTACTCCAAAACACATGTCGCCTGAGATCAAAAACCGTTGCTATGTTTTTTTTTTTAAAAAAAGAAAGTCAAATATTTCAGAATATATCAACCTACAATTTTTCTGTCACCTGCTTGCTTTGCTGTTTTCTTTGCTTGTAAATCCCCTGCATGGAATTCATCCCGATTCCCCAAAGGGCTGCCCACGCCCTCTCCATTGCAGGTCCCATAGCCGGAGGAGCAAGGGCAGGACTGCAGATGGGCTTGTGTCCACAAAATGGAGACCTTCCATGACTTTTGTCCTGGTTTAAGGTATGCACATATTGATCTCAAATCTCTAAAACCCACTGCTATTTTTGCCATGTGATGTATACAAGGCTTCTGAAGAAATCGTGCCCTCTTGAGGGCTCCAGCCCAAATTTTATAGCTTTGATCACCAGAAAAGCATCCCGATTTGTAGAGATGGGATTGTATTTGCTGCTGCAGCCTCACAGGAATGAGGTGAGGAGAATTGGTAATGGCCGCGTACCTACCTCTGCCTTCTTACAGAAACCTGCCGCTTTCGTGCTTGGCATGTTTGGCTGCCTTGTCTGCTGGTGAGCTCAAAAGCCAGCATACCTGCCTGGCTGCTGGCTGTGACCCTAGCAAAGGGACATGCGTGTAGGGACGAGCAAGGCTGCGACACCGGTTTTCAAGCAGAATTCCCTGCTGATATAGAAGGTCCTGTCTGAGCTCATCTCCAACAGATGAGCAACCTTCAAACTTCTCCCACTTCAGCTGGGCTTAAATTACTCAGATTTTAATACTAGGGTTGTGCAGCGGGTTTTATCTTCTGCTTCAAGATCCTGCTTCATTGAAAGAAGACCTTGGCTAAATTTGTGTTGCCGGTTTAAATGTGGTTTGCAGTGCAGTGTTACAGAAGCGTCCTTTGTAAGGTCACTGCAGCCCTTCAGCAGTCAGCCTGCTTTTCCCGTCTGCTCCCTCGCAACGGGGGAACCTCGCTCCTTCCCCTTTTTCAGGTTTCTGTCTATTTTTTTTTTTTTAACTTGCTCCTTGCGTAGTCAGGTAAATGGGAGGTGATAGAAAATTTTTCATCCCAAATGTAGTTGCCAGCTTGAAGGGCAAAAGGGATTGCAGGTGGCTTATCTGCCAGACAAAGTGGTCCTCAGGAGCCTACCGAGGGCTAATGTAGGATTGTCAGTGCTCTAAAGACTTTCTTAGCCGTGGAATTAGTTTCCTCTGGCAGCAGCTCTGCCTACCTTAGAAATTCATTACTGGTTTTCAGCTCTGCCTTATACAGCATGTATTTCCACTGTGTTTCCTTTGCTTTAGAGTGGGGAGAAATTCTTTAATTTACATGAAGGTCGAGAGCGGCTCTGAACCCGGGTGTCACCCCACAAGAGCATGTTGATGGGGGTAGAGGGGTGGATGTTTCTGTGCAGGGTGTTGATGGCATTGGTGGGTGTAGAGGGGTGGATGGATGTTTCTGTGCAAGGTGTTGGTGGGGGTAGAGGGGTGGATGTTTCTCTGCAGGCTGTTGGTGGTTGCAAGGGCACCCTGGCCTGGGGAACCTTCTGGTCCAGGCTTCTGATTCAGCTGGTGATGGGGTAAGAACCTCCCTGTGCTTTCTCCCCACACCAGCTCCAGCACAGCGGTGGAGGGGAAGACCCTACTCAGACCTCGTGGCTGTGCCATGCACGCCCCAACACTTCTCCTGGTCTTAATTGCATGTTACGTCAAAGGACTGGTTGCTTGTTGAGCTTTGGGCTACGTGCTTGGCCTGCTCCTCTGAAACCTGACTGTATCAAGAGACATATAGATATGGAGAAACACCTCTCCCAAGCTGTACAGTCCAGTTCTCTGGTTCAGAAATGGCTCCTGCTGGTTGGTTTGACTGGGGAATGGCTTGTGCAGGGGGATGGGAAAGGAGAGGCTCTAGATATAATTCTAATTGCAATGCCTTGGGCTTTGAAATGATGACAGAAAATTTTCCTGCTCGCATTTGTTCTCATTTAGCTACAGCTTGTTCACCAGGATGTTTTTCAAGGAGGGTCTGGTCAGTGTTGGCAAAGGAAAGTCTCTTACTTCCCAAGCATGCTTATCACTTTGTCCTTGACAACGATGGGAACTTTCGGCACTTTGTTTTTCATTTAGAGGCAAACATGAGAAAGCCTGCCTTTGCAGGCAGCATTGTACGGGTTTTCCTGTGTGCTGAATCACGCAAGACAGATAAAGTTTCCCCAAAATGTTATTGGCTTTGCAGATGTTGGACCTGGGAAAGTTGGGTGGGAGAGGGAGGAGAATTAATATCTGAACTATCAACTGAACAAATCTTGCAGTTCAAATAAAGTACCTGCCATCACTTGGGAAAATGTGTTTTGGTGTAGGATGAGTAATAAAATCTTGAGTATTTTAAATAACTTTACAGATATGGAGAGTTTGTGTCTGGAATAGGGCAGTATTGGTGGTGTGATGTTGCTTAACCACAGGAGTAGTGAATGGTTTAGCTCTATAGGATAAAACTGCACACACAGAAGCAGTTGATGTTTGCCCTCTGCCCTCCCTTCATGTGAATACTTAGATGGTTTAGGCTGAAGGACATGAATCAGGAGCTCGTGTTTTAAGAAAGATACGTATTTTCAAAGTACAAGATTTTTTAGATGCTGGTATCATTTTACATAGGGATTCGCTGGAGATAATGGAGTGCTTGTGGGGCAGACTTAAAAAGCATGCGTTAGAAGGATGATGCTTAAATCTCCCAGCTCCCTGGGAAAGTAAAACCTCTGTGCTACATATGTCTTTGAAAATTTCCTTTGTGTCTTCAGACACTTTGATTATTTTATATTTGTTTTCTGTTATCCATATGTACCATCTAACTGGTTTTATCTCTGTATCTAGAGCAATGCCTGCTACTTGGTAAGATTTGAGGACATAAGTGCCCTGCATAGCTAACATCTTTTGCTGAAGGAAGGTGAATTGCGGAGGAAACCATTCTCTTTCAAGCACTGGTATAAAAGTGATGGCCAGCAGAGGTGTACAGGTGTTCTTGAGAAGCTGCAAGAACTAATGTCACATATTGGCACTACCCTTGCAAGCGCAAGGTTTTATTCTAGTGTCACAGGGAAGTTTTGGAAGTACAAGGAATGCCCTCTTTAGTGTCATCCCTTTTCCTAATAGAGATACTTGGCAAATCTCTTGTTTGAAGGAATACAGTCAAAACAATAAAGGCTAATTAATAAGGCCCCTGTCCTGTTGATGGGACTTGTTTTCCTTAACCTTCAGCCAGCATGCATACAGGGTTGTGATGCATAAAAATGAACAGAATATTAATGTATCTTGCTAACCGAACACTAGGCGCTCTAACTTTTTCTTTTGCTTACCGTTTGTTAAACCTGGACATTTCAGCAGTGCTGCAGCGGAGAGATGCAGTGCTAGGATCTGCCTGGGTACAAACGACTTGAGAGCGCAGCACCCACCAACTGGCATGGCTGCTGTCCCTGACCTGATCTCAAAAGGCAGACTAGATTTATTAAGACAGCGATCGATAGTGGGGAAAGTGCTAGAAGTGTAACCAGAGCAAGATGCTTTGCAGTGGCATTCGGGATTTGGCTGCTGTCCTCCTCCTGATTTATCATGCACAAAAAAAGCCATTCCTACCTGCAGAGTAGAAAGCAACTCAAACGCGATGTATTCATACACCCAGCAAGAAGCACTGGCTTTGTGTTTCAAGAAAATTAGAGCGTAACAGTCAGCAAGAAGAAAGTTTGGTGCCTGAATGTGCCTTTTAATTTTCAATGTTAAAAAACCCCAACCCAGCAACCAGTCTTGGTGTAAGCCTTGTACATGGTCCGCTTTCCCTGACAAAATTTAAGTCATCGGTAGCATGAGGTTGAGGGTGGGTTGGCTTGAAATTTTCCTTTCCCCTCTATTAAAAACAGATGTAGAAGAAATTTTGCTCACTTTCTTTTTCCCAGAGGATCATTTGGGCTGCAAGCAGAACTGCCATCCGTATATCTCAGTAACTGAACCAAGGCAGGACTTTGACTGTATCCTCCGTGGTCGCTTGGTTGGGACTGCGCCGAATGCTCTCAGAAGCGTTTATGAAGATAGTGATTCTGAATGTGCTTTAATGACTATGTAATGCCCAAGTCTTAAGATGCTCTGTTCCAGGGACTGAAATTTCAGATTTCCTATAGCATATGCACTAATTCTCTTACTTTGGCTAGTGTATTGTGGCTGCCATCATCCTATACTCCGTGGCTACCTAGACTGATCCTGCAGTTTCAGGCTGTATTTTTTTCCTCCACTCTTGCAGTGGAGCAGTGCACTGAATCTGAAGTTGAAGACTCTTGTGTAGTATTTTCCTAGGATTTGGACCTTTCTGTGCATGTGGAGAACTGGTCTGTTGTAGTGGAAGACAGAAGGATGCAGCTGGTTTCCATTTGGGAGCTCTAAGCAGGAGCGTGCTTGTTGAGCAGTGATGCTGTGTGGCTCGGAGATTAATGCTTATGTTTCTCTTTCCCCAGAGATCATCGACGACCTCACTAACCTGGTTGAAAACACAGACGACAAGCTTCGCAACCAGACGCGGCACGTGAAGATGGTGGATAAGAAATCAACATCCTGTGGTAGGAAATGGCTTGAGCACAAATCCTGCCCTGTTATTAAATGACGAGAAACCAGTCTAGCACTCAGAGGCTGTGCACAGTGTGCTCCCCCCAAGGACAGCTTCTTTTAAAAGTTAAAAAACCCCACCTTTCCAAACTCAAACATGACCTTAGCTGCTCTTGCAGGTTTGACTCACTGCGCATGCTGTGTGTTGATATAGTTAACTTCCTTAAGCCATTTGACTCCAGCATTGCACAATACTCTGATTGGAAATTGTAGAACTGTATGAAATGAGCGTGGTACGTGTTAATTAGGTTTAAAAAACTTGCTAGCTACCAGCTCTCACAAACCGGTCACAGTGGGGAGTGATGCCGCAGGGACATTTCTGGTGGTGTCCTGCAGGAATGTGTTCTCAACCAAGTGGCATTTACAGCCTGCCAGACATGAAATCCTTGCTGGTGACTCTTCAAGCTACGTGCGAGCTGGTAAAGCTAAATTGGACTCCCTTTCCATATAGCCAAAGCGAGGTTGTACATCTCAAGGAAGTGAATGCACGTTTCTTCTATAGGATGAAGAGCTGGGGGTTTGATAGCAATGATTGTGGGAGGATGCTGTGGGTGATGGCAGAAAATGTCCGTATCTTGGGGGATGAGTGACACAGAGGAGTGACTAGGGGAGGATGTCCATGGGGAGGTGGTGGTAGTGAGACACTTCTGGGAATAGCATCTCCACTTTTTGTGTCTGTGGTTCGATTCTGGCGCTCTAGAGGACTCAAAATGCTAACAGGAATAATTTCTGCTCTGTAGAAATTTGACTTATAGCCAGAAGTTAATGAAATTTGGTTTATGTAGTTTAGTATAGAGAAAGTTGAGAGCTGACTTGGTCACACATCTGGGTGGAGAAAAGGTTTCTGGCTGGTGGGGAGCTTTTATTCTGTAGAGTGATGATCTAGCAGTAAAGCGGCCGAGCTCAGACTGGCAATGAGACATTTTTCAAGCACTGACAATAGATTTCAGGGATTTATTTGGTTCTTCATCAGTGATAACTTTTTGAAAGCTTGGTTGATATAGGTTGATGAAAATCTGTGGCTTCTTCTGGAGGTTAAAGTTGACTTGTCAGAGGTGTTTGTCTCCGATTTCTCTTGTACCAACTACAGACAGAATTAAAGGCATGACTGCAGAGTTCATGACCACCTTTTTTATTTTAGATCTTTAATGTTGATGCAAGATGGATTTAATCTAAAAATAGCTGCACTTGAATGATGCCGAGTACCCCTGTGTGCCTTTGGAGTCTCCCCTTAATTTCTGTGGTTTCATTTTCTGCACGATGCAGGGAAGCACAATGCGAAATGCCTGCGCAGGGCAGGCAGCGAATCCCATTCCATACAGGACAGCTTCTCCCTCCTTAGGGATTTCTCCCCCTTTTTAGGTTCCTCATGCAAATGCAGCCCCCAGACAACGCTGCTGGATAATGAGCCTGTCTCTTTAACTCGGAAGCCCATGCTGGCTGTGCTGGGGAATTTGAGAGGAGGAGGAGGAGGATGGGAGAGGCGAAGGCTGGGAGGATCCAGGGCTGGATTCCTTGGGGGTGACCTCTCTCACCCTTTCCACATTGAAAAACATTTTTCTGCAAGGGGTGGTGAGAAGCGCTGCCTCTCGGTGCCTGTCCCCTCTGCTCCAATAGGTCTTCCTGTGTTTGCATAACAATTTGGGCATATGTAAACACAATATTGCCTCAGATAGCTGTTCTACTCTGCCTAAGCGTGAGTTTTAGAACAATAATGCTGGAAGACACAGCTTTTAATGGCATTCTTCCCATCCCTTTTCCACCCTTACCCCTGGCGCTGAAAATTAACTAGCATATTAAGATTAGAAAAACCCTCCGTGTACGTACAATTATTCCTTGAACAAAAACAAGCAGTGGGAAAACTGGCACCTGCTAGGTAATTTTTTCAAAGTGCCTTTTTTTTCCCCCCCTCCAAGATTTCATTTAAATTCATAAAATCTTTAGTAACTCTTTGGTTTCTGCATTGTTACTTTGGATTTAAACCGGCGCGAAATGCTCAGTCTTCTCCCTTGCCTACCCCTTCCTTCCCCGGGATGGAGATGTTTGCTTGGACCCAGTCTCTGCAATATTCCAGCATGTGCCTGTTTCCGTGATTTTGGCTCATTTCTGAAATCGTGATGTCTTTTTATTTTTCTGATGAGTGCCTGTACTGGAGCCACTGGCTGTGGATACAAGCAGAGCAGCCTGGCATGAATAGTGGAATAATCACCCTTTTACGAGCAAGAATGTAACGCATTAATGGGTGTGTCTTTGTTAGCAGCCAGTATAATAATAAAATCAAAGTATTGCTGATGAAATCCAACTTTAATCAATATTTCAACGTCTTGCTCTCATGCAAACATCGTTTCAAGCTTTGGTGGTTGTTTCTAGCAACCAGCGTGATTTTTACTGCAGCGGTCCATCCCTCCGTGCTACCTGCTCGGCACAGGCATCGCTGGGTGCAGAAGCGTTGCAGCGAGCACCGTCTGCACCTCTGGCCGTACTCAGTCCTGGCAGAAACCTTCAGGTTGTTTTGGGTGGGTTGTTTTCATTTGCAGCTTATTTGCAATGCCGTTTCTCTTGCTGACTCAAGAGCTGTCACAATCCCACGTCTTGCTTCTGCCCAGTGAAGGCTGCCCCGGTTGGAGCCCGTCTCCCTTGGTGGCCCCGGGCAGCCCCATACTGGTGTCAGTGGGAACTCCCAGGGACTGCAGCGGAAGAATAATCATAGGATATACTTAAGTCTGCTGCATTTATGAAATTATTGTTGAAAATCATCAGTCATCTGCAGGCAAATGTTTGCACGCTGCTTGGCATTGTTTTATTTCTTTACAGCGTACACAGGGCATTTAGGAAGGATGTTAGGACATATATATTTCTTAGATTTCAGAAATTTGCATTGAGTTTTCACCAAAAAGTACACGCAAATCATTAATCAAATATTAAGCTGCCTTTACGA